GGAAATAACTTATAAGATCATGCCTTTCTTGTCCCATAGATGTGTGGTGTGGTTGAAAGAAAGTGATACATACAATTCCTCGTATAAAAAGTCACATGATACGGGATTCTTCCATTTCCGAACGCAGCTTCACTTATGTTGGAATTTAAGATGCGTCAATGTGTCATCGAGTCTCAATTCGGAAGATTCAATACTTGGCGTACATACGACGTGGGGTGTAAGAGAGTTCCAGATCGAACACACTGATTGCGAATGATTGACACCGGCTTTCCACTTGGCATTATGAGACTACTAGTTTAAACGAACGTCCTCAAAGATGCGCGTTCGGTGATCATTTTAACAGTGGGCGACACGGATGGCTTGGGTTTTACATTATTTGGTATACCATAAGCTCATCTCTTCTGATGCGCCCGTTATGATTGGAGTATAACCCCAGTGACTCCAGTCCTTCTGTATATGAATAAAGATTCAACCCCGTAACCACACTGGTAGCCATTCTTTGTAGACGCTCCAGCATTTTTCAATCACGTTGTAGCCATGGATTCCATACCTAAATGACGTACTTTGTGAGTGGGCGAATGTATGCTGATAGTGGACAGCGGAAAAACGCCGACTCGAAACGGCCAAAGATCCGCCAAAACATACCGACATTCTTTGCAGCTGCGTTCGACACCTTGGTGTAGTTGAGAGAGCAGCTTAAGTTTTTTCGAACGATGATGGCCAGGTACTTCTCAATTGAGGCGTGTGTCAGTTGTTCATTTCCAACGAAATAAGAAACTCGTGTTGTAGAGATAGAATCACACACTTTGGCACACTGAACTCAATACCGTTCAGAAGAGACCAGAAATGAGCTGCTTTCAGCGTTTCATGGAAGGTATACTGGGTCGCTGCTTATCATGGGATACTGTTACTTAGTCCACAGGCTCATTTGTTTTTTTGTCAAGTATAATGCAAACTCAAAACCCTCGGTGTTCTGATCATTGGTAATTACCACTCAAGACTTGCTTTTCAACGTGAATCAGTTTGTCCGTGCTTTATAGCGAGCATCATTTGACCATGGCGTTAGTTTAAGTTTACAGTTCATTCCCTCCAGTGTATACATATTTACCAATCACCTCTAACAAATGATTGATGAAATATTTTTTACTTACATCCTCGTTCTGAAAACAGATTATTCGGAAATGGATGAAAGTTTGGGTTGAATAAAGTTATTATCTCCTTATTGTGAATGTTTCTTCTAAATGATAAATTTTATTTGAATTCCATACGTGTCAATTTGGGGCACGAATATCTGACATCAGTATTGGTATTCTAGTACGTCGTAACAAACAAATTTTCTTCATGTGATTCTGAGAGACCAAAAAAGTACATTTTAACAAATTTGAAAAACAGTCAATTTGCAAATCACTTGAAGAAAATAAACCTACTACCGCGTGC